AATGATGTGTGCAACTTCCTATTTATTCAGTACTTAGCTTCCTATACCCCCTCCCCCGACCACAGCCTGGAGCACAGATGCTACAGTAAGTCAGCTGCAACCATGCAGGTGAAGGCAACAACCTAAGGAATGATGAGGAAGGAACATGGAAGGAACCTGGATCCCAGATTGATCTTGTGGAGCAAAGCTGCCCAGCTAGGCTAGACCAGCCACACTGATGGGTGAGAAACATGTCTGTCTTCCTTATTTAAACAATCGGGAGCTCTAAACCTTAGCTTAACAGTAACTCTGGCTCCTACAACTCACAATGTGTAACAGTCACACGTGTTCTCTTAGACTTGGGAGTTCATGTCTGCTCCCATTTTTGTTTTAGTTTCTCGCTGCTCTAAAGGAACAGACACACTTACTCCACTGCTTTCTTGTAGATTTCGATGGCCTTGTCCAAGTCTCCCTCCAGCAAGTGGATCTTGCCCAGCATTATGTAAGTCATATCATGCCTGTTAAGATGTAGGGCATTGTGCAACTGGTCTTGTGCCTAACAAGATTGACAGAGTAAAGAGAACCAGATCACTACCGTGAAAGGACAATGACCTTGTATGGCTAATGTAAAGACAGAGCTCCTGCTATACTAATGTAGGAATATCACATTTCAGCAAATGCCTCACTACCCAAAAAACTAAAACATACCCAAACCGTGCTTGCTCATAGGACAGCTAGCAACATGGAGTGTCTGCCTCTAGAGCCACTTGGGAGGCTTGTACAGATGATTAAACTTTTTGAGTGTTTTCTGCTTTTTGATATTCACACCCATGACTCATATTTCGTAAGTCAAAAGGGATATCATGGTCTGCCCCAAACTCGACCCCAGCTGCACCGCTGACCAAAGGCACACCCTTCCCCAGCGTGGACCTCATTTTCCTCACCAATATTTTGATGAATGAATGAATCCTCATTTATTCATTCAACATGTATTCATCGAGTGCCTGTTGCTCTAGGTACTAGTATACCAGAGCTAACACAAGAGCTTATGTCCTCGTAGATGATGAAAAGGGCTTCGTTTAGTCCTTCACTGATTCAACAAGTACTTCTATAAATGCCAGGTACTGTATTTGCTTAGCCTGTAGGCTTTATAGTAAAATCTAAATATAATGCTTCTCCTCCATACGGGTCTGACCAAAAACCAATTCCACCTCTCCCTGGGCTCAGAATAATCCTGTGAATAGATATGTACTTACTCAGTTCAACTGAGTATTCACCCTTCAGTTTCTGCCATAAATACCCATCCTAATCACTTCCTTGTAGATGCTTGAAATATCCTCTGAAGAGAGAAAGGTCCTAGCCAAATATGTAACATTGAAGATCTAGATCTGCCCAGAAAATCTAAGGGACCCACTAAATATGTATATTTTATTTACATAGATATAGGTATTCTTTATTTTTATATATCTCACAGGAGCAAAAGTTATTCTCATACCTCAACTGCTGATGTACAGGTTTTTTTTCATACCCCTGAGGGACTGATTAGGTTGTATCGGTTTACAAATTGATATATATTAAACACTGTCAAATGGTTATCAATTAATTCAGATGCTCAGTCCTGTCAGCACTGGAGAAAGGAGAATAAAACTTCATAATCACTAAGTGGGAGCTTTATGAAGGAAACTCTACCCAACCCCACTATCATTAACTTTTAGAGTTCTCTATAATTTGGTCTATCCCTCAATTAAGATATATACATTTTTTCCCTTATCTGAGTACCAGGGTAAGCGCAAATGTTTTATCTGATGTAAGAGCCTTAGGCACTACAGCCTAATCACAATGAAATATAAAAATGAAACAAAAATCTCACACGGAAAATAACCTTAAAAACAGACTCTCAGAAATCAAATCTATTTAAGATTAAAAATTCATTTCCGGGCTTCCCTGGTGGTGCAGTGGTTGAGAGTCCGCCTGCCGATGCAGGGGACACGGGTTCGTGCCCCGGTCCGGGAAGATCCCACATGCCGCAGAGTGGCTGGGTCCGTGAGCTTTGGCCGCTGAGCCTGCGCGTCCGGAGCCTGTGCTCCGCAACAGGAGAGGCCACAACAGTGAGAGGCCCCCGGACCCACAAAAAAAAAAAAAAAAAAAAAAAAAAAAGTCATTTCCAATGACCTTGAAAACTAAAATCAGTTGCCACTGGAGCATAAGATAGCTCACAAGGTCATAATTACACTTTTAAGACTTACAGGTCCACTTTTTGATATCTAAGTTTTATTGAACATTTGTGTTTCCATTCTGGAAAATTAAACTAGGGGGTGGAAAATAAGAAGAGAGGAAGAAAGCAATTAGATTGCCACTCCCTAATAATATTTCTAGAATTTGTCACTTTCTTGTTAAAAGCAGAAAAAAACAAAACAAACAAACAAAAAAACAGATGACTAGTGAAAAACGAGAATAAAAATGGGGATAAATGTATATGGCAGTTTCAATTTTTACTTCTAAAAATCTCGGCAAGCAGTAGGAATAATACAAAATGAGCAATGGCACCTCTGTAACAAGTGTACCCTCAGTGAAATCCCCAGCCAACCCCTCAGCCACCACCACCATTTCTATAAATTACCTTGTCCAACTGTTTCAGGTAAATGTAGCAAACTCCTAGGTTATGACAGATCTCCTACACACAAAAGAAAGGAAAACAACTTACTAAGTTCCACAGTAACTATTAGAGTGAAACAACAGGCGTCTAGAGATTACTGCTTGGCAAAATTTAAACTTTAAAACATGCACTATGGTTAATTTTTTACTTGAATCTTAAACAGATTATAAGAGAGAAAAGCAGAATAAACCAGTGATCTTCCTGGGCCTATTTAGTACCTTGGGGTGCATGCCCAGCCCATTCATACACCTTTTTTCCTCTAAGAGCTGCTCACTGAACAAACCCTTTGTCCCCTCTTCTCAGAAGGGACTACCACAGCCCCTTCTCCAACCCTAAGGAGGTGTGTGTGTGTCAGTCAGAGTCCTTTTCCTAGGAATCTAGGAATTCACTAGGTGGTATGGACTTGGGGTCTGACAGCGCCATCTGGAGGCCACTAAGATGGAATACATAGATGTAATTGGAGCCAATCTTCAGAAGACTACAGCACAGGTCAGCAAACTCTGGCCCATGGGCCAAATCCATCCTCTGCCTTTTTCTGCAAATCAAGTTGTATTGGAACACAGCCACGACCGCTTGTTATGCATCGTCTACAGTTCTTTCACACTAGAACTTCAGAGTCAAGTAGCTGCAACAAAGACTGTATAAATCCACAAAGCTTAAAATATTTACTAACCTGCCCTTTACAAAAAAAAATTTGCCAACCTCTGATCTACAGAAAGAAAATAAATCAAGCAGAAATGCAGAGAAGCTACCTTGGTTGCTGACATCTTTCCAGTTCTAGTTCACTGCAAGACCAATCTGTATTTCCTGACCTTGTATTCTGTAAAATCTCTTGAACTCCCTTATAATAAACCTCCCTTTATTTAAGGCAGCTTTAGAGAAAGGAAAACGCAAGGGTGAGAAAACTGCTCCTGGGAAACAGTAAGGACCATCTCGTTAGTAGTGGGGAGGTGGAGAAGCACATTCAGACCCAGAAGTGTCCCTCTCGGAAGAAACATGAACCTTATAGGGCTCAGAGACAACAACTGGTTTAATGTTCTCCAAGTTCCCTAACATAACAACAACAAAATAACAATCAGTGATTCTATGCCAGATGTTTTTCATATACATTAATCTTCCCAGCAAATCTGCAACATAAGCATGACAATTCTGATTTCAGAGGTAAGAAAATGGAAGCTCAGAGAAGTTAAGTAGTTTGCCTAACTTAGGACAAAAAGTATCAGCACTGGGATTTCTTTTTCTTAGTTCTAAATCTTAAAGAATTTCAACCATATATAAATGTAGACAGAATCACCATGTACTCATCATCCTGCTCCAACAATCATCCAATCCATACCCCCCCATCTCTCCCACTACTTTTGTAAGCAAATACCAGATAGTATCACATTTTATCCACAAATATTTCAGTATGTATTTCTAAAGGATAAGATCTCTTTTTTTTTAAGCTACCCACAATACCATTATCATACTTGAAAAAAAATTAGTAACTGCTGATACTGAATCATGTTCAAATTTCTGATGAATGTCTCACATTACAAAAAAATTTTTTTTCTTCAATCACAATCCAGGGACTTCCCTGGTGGTCCAGTGGGTTAGACTCGGCACTCCCAATGCAGAGGGCCAGGGTTCAATCCCTGGTCAGGGAACTAGATCCCACATGCATGCTGCAACTAAGAGTCCGCATGCCGCAATGAAGATCCCACATGCTGCAACTAAGACCCGGCTCAGCATGCATGCATACATACATAAATAAATAAATTTATTTTAAAAAAATCATAATCCAAATAATTTCCACACATTGCAAAGCACTGGGATTTGAACTCAGGCCTGTCTCTAAAACTTGTATACCAGACTTCCCTGGTGGTCCAGTGGTTAAGAATCCGCCTGCCAATGCAGGGGACAGGGGTTCGATCCCTGGTCCAGAAAGATCCCACATGCCGCAGGGCAGCTAAGCCCGTGCACCACAACCACTGAGCCCATGTTCTAGAGCCCACAAGCCGCAACTACTGAGCCCATGTGCCGCAACTACTGAAGCCCGCGGGCTCTGGGGCCCGCATGCTGCAACTACTGAGCCCACGTGCTGCAATTACTGAAACCTGCGCGCCTAGAGCCCATGCTCCACAACAAAAGAAGCCACTGCAATGAGAAGCCCACGCACCGCAACAAAGAGTAGCCCCTGCTCGCCAAAACTAGAGAAAGCCCACAAGCAGCAACGAAGACCCAGCTCAGCCAAAAAAAAATTTCTTTAAATAAAACTTGTATACCTTCCACTTCTTCACCCTATAAGAATATACACAGGGAGCTGGAGAGGAGAAATGTAGCCCTACTTGTCCTTTAAATGTACTGGAAGGTAACTAACCCGTAACCTTTTTAAATCATTTCTCATAGATATTGTTTGAGAAAGCAGTAGCAATATGCCTTAAACAAACTGACAACCAAGAAAATTTCTGAAATTTGAAAAGGAAACTAGAACAAATCAGAGTTAAATCCTGTCTTTCATGGGGTGAGAAGATGCAGCAGACATCCTGCAAGGGCAATTGGTACAGTGGAAAGATCACAGGCTGAAAGTGAGGAATCCTAGATTCTAGGCCTGAATTCTGGCTCTGGTTCTGCCACTACCTCACTGTGTGCCCTTCAGCAAGTCACTCCATCTCCCAAAGCCTCAGCTTCCTCATCTATCAATACGGGAAATTCTCCCTACTTAACAGCTGTTCCACAAGTCAAATGAGATCATGGCAGGAGGAATTATTATTCCCCTGCTGCGGCCAGACTGTGGAATACCCTGATGAGTCGAAGGAAGTAGGGCTACAAGGTTTACTACAGGCCACAGGCACTCATGAAGCATGTAGGGCAGACAGTGGCTGTTTGGGGAATGACCACCTCTACTGGCACCAATGGACTGGTTATCCCAGGTGAGTCAGTAATACCAAATGAGCTCTTTCAACCAACTGGACAAACTGAAAGACATTCTCCATTCCCCCTGTCCTGTCCCTGAGCTCTCCTGTCTCACTTCCTCTCTGTCTCCATCTATGGGCTCATTTTCTCTTCAGCTCAGCCCTTCAAACTGTTTTTTCCAGGATTCCATCCTCAGCTCACTGCAGAGTGAGCTCATTCAATTTCATTGTTTTAATTATCACCTTTAAGTTGTTGACTCCAAAATGTGTATCTCTAGCCCACAACACTTGAGTTTCAGATTTCTATATCCACCATGTATTGGATACATCTCAATTTAGATATCCTACCAGAAGGTACAATTCATCATGTCCATAATCTTCTAAAAGACAGGACTTAACTCTGATTTGTTATCATCACCCTCTCCCAAAACTTGCTCCTCTTCCTTCCTGTATTTCCTATTCTAGTTGATTGTTCCATAAACCACCAATCCATCTTTGCATCTGCAGCCCAGTGCCTGGCACACAGACGTTCATTTGTTGAAAGAAGGACTAAGTGAATGAAACGGCAACTCAATTTTCCTTTATCTGTAGCTTTACTTTGGCCTTTGGCTATAAAATACTCAATGGCATAAATACTTAAACATCTCACTCTTTAGACCTGCAGAAGAAAAGTGACTGACAAAAATAATAGTGCTGTGAGACTTCCCTGGTAGCACAGTGGTTAAGACTCCACACTCCCAATGCAGGGGGCTGGGGTTTGATCCCTGGTCAGGGAACTAGATCCCACGTGCATGCCGCAACTAAGAGTTCGCATGCCACAACTAAGGAGGCCATGTGCTGCAACTAAGGAGCTGGCAAGCTGCAACTAAGGAGCCCGCCTGCCGCAACTAAGACCCAGTGCAACCAAATGAATAAATATTTTTTAAAAATAATAATAATGCCATAAGAACTGCAGGGAAAACCCATGCTAGCTCTTTCTACTAATCAATCTAATCCTTCACTCTTAGATACGTCTTTCTAAGAATCATCAGATATTTTGAAAAAAACCAATAGCATGAAAGAGAGGAAGAAAAAGATAATTGTGGAAAGCAGAAGAGAACTTCAAAGGGTCAGAGACATGGAGAGGCTGCTGCAAGAAAAGACAAAGTTCTTAGAAATTAAAAATATAATTACTGAAATAAAAAATATTGAACAGGTAGGCTAAATAACAGAATGTGAATATAGCTAAAAACAGAAGTGATGATCTGGAAGATAAGACTGAGGAAATGTCTCTGAATGTACAGCAAAGGCAAGGAGGTAGAAAATATGAGAAGCAAGTTAGGAGACAAGTAGAACAGGTACAGAACACGTCTGATAGAGTAGAAAACAGTGTGGCAAATGCTGCTAGTTATTTACCTAACATTCACTCTCTCTGTTTACCTTACCAACAGAACCCTAATTTTGTTTATAGTGACAATACATTTCCCAACCTTCCTTAAAAAAGGGGTAGTTGGTGTGATGTAAGTGAAAGTCTGTTGGGGATTTCTGGGAAAATTATACTTCCTTGATGAAGGTTATGTCCTTTTCTCTTTGTTGCTTCCTCCTTCTCCCTACCTAGAATGATGATGTAATGTTAGAGCTGCAGCAGTCATCTTGTAACCATGAAGAAAAAGCCTCAGCATTGACATCGTTGGACCACCAAATCAATGTCGGCAACTACTTACCTGGATTTCCTGTTTCATAAGAAAAAAATAAACTCCTAATTTATAAAGCCAATGTTTAATAAAATGTTTTGTTGCAGTTACACACAATCCCTAAGTGATACAAAGAGACAATAGAGAGGAAAAAATAATCAAAGAACTACTCAAAAACATAAAAACCTTGCTGACCCAAAGAAAGGCAAGGGTCTTCAAAGTGAGAAGAGCCAACTGAATGTCCACAGATAAGGGGGATAAAAGAGAAAAGAAACACATCTAGACAACTATTACTGACATTTCAGAACTCCAATGATAGAAAATCCTCAAAGCTTCTAGAGAGGAAGGTGGGGTTATCAGCAAGAATCAGACTGGTAACAGACTGCTCATCAACAACACTGACAGCCAGAAAACTAGGCAGCAATGTCTGCTGAGTTACGAGGAAACATGATTTTTGATCTTATACCCAGCCACATCATCGATCAAGTGTGAGGATAAAATACAGTTTTGGCATGTAAGAATTCAGTAATAATAACAAAACATAGCCATATGATAAATGGAGCCATTAGCATGTCATTAATAACAAAGTTCCCTACTTACCCAATCTTTCTGGTTAAGTTTAGCTGCTTCATTATATACTTCAGTGGCAGCTTTATGTTTTCCCAAAAGAAATCTGGGGAAGAAACACATTTTCTGTGATTATTAACGCAAAGCTTTTACGAGACTATAACCCCACCAGTCCCACATCTGACTCATGCTCCAGCCAGCAGAGAATTCGGGACGCCTCTTCCCTGTAAGCTGGCTGTGCTGGTTTAGCCAGTGAGGCTGCTGCACACCAACAGCAGAAGGTCTCTTGGTAGGAACAGAGTTGGTTCCAAGGCCTTGGGCCCATTCTACACCAATTTTAGTGAAAGTCTTCTGTAATTTATTTTCTACAATGTACTACAAATGTAGACCAAAAAAGAAACAAGTCAAACTAATTACCATGTTAAACAAAAACTACCACAATTTTTCATCATGATCTATTAGGGACAGGCCCTTCTCTCCCAAACTAAGTCTCTTTCCTTGATACTGGATCATCATTCTGGAGACACGGGAAAATCAGCCTCTATGCAAAGACAGTGCACGTTATGAATGACGACATAGGTAAGAAAGTGAGAGTGGGAACTCCAAAGAACACTTTACTACTCTGGAGTAGGAGACCTATTAGTACTTAACAGCTTATAAAGACAACGGAGGTTGCCTGCATCCAGGAACCTTCAGGGCATTCACTCAACAAACACTTACTAAAAACCTACTGTGTATCTAGTATTATGCTAAGTGTTGGAACAGTAGGTGAGAAAAATTCCGTGGGCTGCCAATACATTAGGGTACTTGAGGCACAAAATGTTCCTATTTATATAAGAAACATTATCGGTGTTCCCCCATCAAACTACAATATACAGTGTTTGAAATACTCAATTCCTTTATACTAGTTATCTCAAATTTCAAAATTAATCCACACTCTTCAAAGTGAATCTATTATACCCATTAAGCAACCCTCCCTCTATGTATCCGGCTGCCAGAAGCAGCTCCAGCCTGAGAATGCACTTTACATTGTTCTCTGTCAGTGCCCTAGGGCCTCCAGGCTGCCAATACTCACAAAGATCTGGCCACCTGCTTGAGGTTATCAGCAGACTGAGGGCTGAGAACAGCACACGTCTGAAAGAGTTCTAGGGATTCTTGGATATTTCCTTCCAGGCGAAATATCAATGCTGCCAAGAAAGAGAAAACACAGAAAATAAAATCATGTTCTAGGAAGAATGGAGCCTGACATCTGAAAAATTGGAGGAGAGGGAGGTAGGAAATCATATCAAAGAAATCCTTTGGATAATTGTGTCTCTAATACAATCAGATATGACTTCAGATGGATTGAAACAAGCAGCAAAGGTGTTGATGAGCTAAAACCTTTTTTTTTTAAATTTATTTATTTATTTATTTATTTTTGGCTGTGTTGGGTCTTCGTTTTTGTGCGAGGGCTTTCTCTAGTTGTGGCAGGCACTCTTCATCGCAGTGCGCAGGCCTCTCACTATCGCGGCATCTCTTGTTGCGGAGCACAGGCTCCAGACGCGCAGGCTCAGTAGTTGTGGCTCATGGGCCTAGTTGCTCCACGGCATGTGGGATCCTCCCAGACCAGGACTCGAACCCGTGTCCCCTGCATTGGCAGGCAGATTCTCAACCACTGCGCCACCAGGGAAGCCCTAAAACCTTTTTTTAAAGGTATCTGGAATCTACCTATTCCTCCACTCCCAGCTTCCACCAAGCAGATGATCGGGTGCCTTGTAAATTATCCCACAAACTCTTCACTATAAGAACATTCTTACAGCTCCTTATCAGATGCTCTATTTATCATGATAATTCCGACATCCACCTGATAGTTTTCAGAGAGTACACCCAAATGGGGCAACTGCAATCAATAACTCAAGTCCAACAAGGAGATGCTGGCAAAGAATGCAGTAATATTTCAGACTTGGTTTTCAGTACAGCAACCAATCAGAATAATCATTTTTCAGAAGAATTTACATGCTTAACTATTACTAGGCACTATAAGTCTGGAACTTGTGATATTGGGAATAAAAGAGCATTATTTGGGCTTCCCTGGTGGTGCAGTAGTTAAGAATCTACCTGCCAATGCAGGGGACACGGGTTCAAACCTTGGCCCGGGAAGATCCCACATGCCGCCACGGAGCAATTATGCCCGTGCGCCACAACTATTGAGCCTGCACTCAAGAGCCTGCAAGCCACAACTACTGAGCCCACGCACCACAACTACTGAAGCCTGTGCGCCTAGAGCCCGTGCTCTGCAACAAGAGAAGCCACTGCAATGAGAAGCCCGCACACCGCAACGAAGAGTAGCCCCTGCTCGCCACAACTAGAAAAAGCCCACACACAGCAACAATGACCCAATATAGCCAAAAATAAAAACAAATAAATAATTTATTTTAAAAAAAAGAGCATTATTTGCCATGATGTCCTAGATATGTCAATATCTTACCAATTATGTCAGAAAATTATATATTAATCTGAAGACTACAAATACAATGAGTGGTAAACAAAACTATTCATTTACATCAAAGAGTCAAAAAGATAGTTCCTGGGAAAACTAAGGATGCTACTTTGGGCACTACAGAGTAAAATTCCAGTCAGTGGTTCCTATACTTGATTTCTGATGAATTTCATTTATCCTGTTTTATCCTGTATACCTCTAGGCTTCTTCCCTTCATCCTGACTCACCTTACAAAAAATCCTCAAGCTTTTCCTCATCTCTTTTAGCTTGACTACAAGGAACCCTTCCAAAACCCTCTTCTGGACCTGAAACTGCTGCATGAGGCAGGGACCCTAACAACTGTTCTGAAAAACACTAGCTGGAAACTAGAATAGGGGTGAAGGACAGTAGCAAGTTTTTTTAGGAGATCTAGTCATTTCTGAGGTCAAATCCAGCACAATAGTCATGTTCTGATTTCAAAAAACAGTAATATTGAATAAGAGATTTGTGGAACATTTACTTGAATTTAAGTATTTTGTAAGTTGTTTGCTCTTTTTCCAGAACCTAGGCAGAGTGTGCATTTCTCTGGCAAGAAGAGAAGAAATATATGTCTTACCTTGGACATAGATAGCATATTCACATAACCCCTGAGTCTCCTGAAGCTGTTCTTTGATAACATCCTGAAAAAGAAAGAAACAATACTTCTGAGTAGTGGTTAAGTGTCTTCAAGTGTTTTTAAGGAAAGGTAAACATGGACAAGGAGTACATGTAAGAAATCTACGATACTAATCATGACTAATAAAGTAGTTCATTCGGATTTTTAAAATTTATTTGACCCCTAGAACAGGGGTCAGCAAAGTACAGCCCACAGGCCAAATCCGACTCACACAGCCTATTTTTGTACAGGTCTCAAGCTAAGAGTGTTTTTTTTATTTTTTAAGGGTTATTAAAAAATAAGAGAAGATGAAGTATATGAGACAGAGACTATCTGTGGCCTGCAAAGCCTAAAATATTTACCATCTGGCCCCTTACAGAAAAAGTTCACCAACTCCTATCTACACTCTAACTAGGCAGGCTAAGAAAACTATGAAAAGATTTCCATGCACCATTACAGATGCTAGGAGCTCTCTGATGAGCAAAGTACAGGCTCTACCTTTGTCCTATGATGGGCTAAGACCAGGGAGCTATACAGCTCAGGGGGCAATCACCTGATTCTAACCTGGAGAATCAGGGAAGGCTTTCCAGGGTAGTAAACAGTTTCAAATCCTGTGTTAGCAAGGGATGGAGGAAAAGCTGAGGTGGCCCAGAGAGTCAGAGAGAGAAGGGCTTCAAATGCCATGCTAAAAAAGGTCGAGAGCAACGGGAAAATCGTGATAAATTTTAAGTGGGAAGTAACCGGATTCTATTTGCTCCATTTTTGGAACATCGTGGAAACAGATGGAAAGGAGGCAAGATTAGAGGCAATGTTGGCATAAGAACTCTTGTGGTTAATTTAAATAAAAATGACAGGGATTAACTAAGGCGTGGCGGGGGGGAGTGGACAATGTCTTGAGATAGTAAGAGAAGGATCTCCAGAACTTGATGATTATCTATATTATATTAGGGAAAGTGGGTCAGAGGATTCTGACACAGACAGCTGGGTGAATGATGGTACCTATCCCCAGGACAGGGAAATGGAGAAGGAATAGGTTTGGAAAGAAGAAGATAAATTCAGCTACAGAAAAGATGAATTTGAAATGCCTGGGAAGCATTCAGTACGCATCTCTAAGATCAGGAAGAAGTGTGTGGAATGAGCAGAGAAAGGAGTCAAGGACAGAACCTAGAAATAGCCCCAACTCTTAAGAAAAAAGCAAAAGAAGAGAAGCCAAAAAAAAAAGGAAACCGAGAAAGTGGTCAATAAAGGAAAAGGGAAATAAGAAAAGGATAATATCACAGATAAAAAAAAAATCTTTCAAGATCCATACTGGAACATTGCTAGTTCTTTACACTGTCATAGGTACAAATGTCACAGGTATAAAAACTACAACCTTAAAAGCATTACAAAGCTCCGAATGCCAAAAACCGAGAATACCAGGGATATATTTTGCATGATGATACTATTCTCTGCCAGCAAGTATGTACTGTACATAGTAAGTTACCAAAGATACAGTTTAGAGAAAATACAAATGGTTTTAAAATATACAAAGGACCAAGCTCACCATAGTAAGAGAATTATAAAACTCAATGAAATACCATTTTTCACCTATCCAGAGATCAAACAGTTAAATACTATGCCATATTGAACATCTGCTCTCCACCATGAGACCAACAAGTCCCAGAGAGTGGCTGCTCCTTCAGCCTGGTCTTGAAATGAGAAGACACATGGAGCACACTTGAACCTGACCCACAGCCTGTGGTCAAACCCAGCCAACCTACAGCCAATCTGAAGGCCCATAAGTAGTAATAAGTATCTGTTGTTAGAGGCCACTGACATTTTGAGATTGTTTCTTAAGCAGCATTATCATAGCAAAAGCTAACCAATACACAAAGTGCAGAGAAATGAGATTTCATACATTTTTAGTGAGAGCTAAACTGTCACACAAACTCTGAGTGACAGACACAGTTAGTTGCCTAACCAAAGCCTGCCTCTCACGTTTTCTACCATTGGCCTCTCACCTTGCATGCTTCATAATCCTTCCGGATATAGTGGAGATGTATCAACCAGTTCTGCTTCTCCAAAATAGGAAACTCTGGAGCTGGGTAGCATATTTTGACAAAACAAACAACACAGTCATTGTTAGGTTTTCTCCTTGAGCACTGTCCTCAACTAACCACAGGCATACTGTAACATCACATTAAATTCTTCATGCTGCTGATCATAAGAATACAGTGCATCAAAAATGTGTGGATTATTAAATTAAGAGATACTTGTCCTACTATTACACATTGAATATATACTTCTGTTCAGTTTTGGTCATTTATAGTGTCACTTTCTCAACTGATAACTTGCCTGAAGAGAAAAACAGAATCATTCTTTCCCTCTTTTCCTCTCTCTCTCTCTCCTTGGTTTTAGAAAGTTAATAATATGACGTTCCAAAGGATATTTCAGGAGTGTTACTAACAAAATATACACACCATAGTTAATATCACATCTGATAGATCACAGGACCAAAAATAGCTAAACACAGTCTTAGCAATAGCTCAAATGTGAAACATTATACTGTTGCCCAGGAATGAGAAGTCAACAAGGAGAAAAATATTTGAGCCACTGAAAATGATTCATGATACAGAAACCCTGAGTTACTATCCCTTTGAATTCAATTAAAATACAGGTAAAAATTCATTAAGAAATTATTTTTCTATGGTAAAAAGGACAAGTATTCACACCAACCTCAGAACAGTGGTGACCTCAAGGAAGGAAGAGGGAAGAGTAGAATTAGGAAGCAATAAAAAGGAGATTTCAACTGTTAAATGCTTTATCTATCAAAAAAATTAAAAGCTCTAAAGTATACATGGCCAAGTGTATTTATTTATTAAATCTGGCCTGTAAGTACACAGGTGTTTGTATTTTTTTATGCATTTTAATACATGCTTGAGGTAATCCCTGTTTTGTTTTGTTCTGTTTTAATAATCATTTTCTTTTTGTTGTTTTTTGTTGGCCACACCACACAGCACGCTGGATCTTAGTCCCCGACCAGAGATGGAACTCGCACCCCCTGCAGTGGCAGCGCAGAGTCTTAACCACTGGACCACCAGGGTACTCCCTGATTTTTAAAAATGTAAAAGAAAGGGTATAGCAGGGGAAGAAAGGAAAATGATTTGTAATCATTTGTAATCGCTCTGTTCCAGAACCTTAGGCGATATATCAACGGAAAACCCAAGACTTATATGTCCATAGTATGACGGGAAGGAAAAAAAGCTTACTGTGACCCAGAATTAACATTGCAGGATCACAAAAATTAAGAACGCTGCTTACTCTTTCC